AAATAATAATAATGATGATGATAATGATAACGATTACTTTCTGCTGGGGCCCCTGGGCCTGACCTGGGTGCATTTTCCCCTGACTCCTCCTTGGACAAGTCTTGTTGTTTCCCCTTGTTTTTTTTTTTTTTTTTTTTTTTTTTTTTGAGACAGAGTCTCACTCTGTCACCGAGGCTGGAGTGCAGTGGCACCATCTCGGCTCACCGCAATCTTCACCTTCGCCTTTTGGGTTTCAGTGATTCTCCTGCCTCCCAAGTAGCTGGAATTACAGGTGTCCACCACCACACCCAGCTAAGTTTTGTATCTTTAGTAAAGACAGGGTTGCCTGTCTTTACCATGTTGGCCAGGCTGGTCTTGAACTCCTGACTTCAGGTGATCCGCCTGCCTTGGCCTCCCAAAGTGCTGGGATTACAGGCATGAGCCACAACGCCCGGCCTCCCTTGAGTCTTTAAACATAAAGGAAGTCAAAAGGGTCCTCTGTAGTTGACCCTGAGAACCAGCTGAGTCTTACCCAACCCTCCCAAAAAGGGAACCCGAGTGACAAGTCTTTTAGTCAAGGTGGTTCAATCTCTCACTGAAGGTCAACGAATTCTACATGGGATTTTAGAGCAAAAGGGAAGTTTAGAAATCTCTCAGCCCAACCGTCCCTTTTGAGAGATAGGAAAACCAAGCCCCAGGTTGGTGGCTGATGTGGTCACAAACTCCAGGACCCCAAATCAGACTCGATTCCTTGGGCAACACAAGGGGCCTCATTACAGGGACCTCACAGGCCTGTTGATCCAAGTCCTACTGGAAGTTAGGGTGCTGGCTCCTGCCAGGGTGCAGGGTCGCCTGTCTTCAAGGAGCACTGACTGAGATTCTGACTCAGGGTCGGGGCGCTCTACCAGGATCGGGGGGTTATGAAGTGATGTTAACAGTGGGCCTCTTTCCGGAGGTCCGATACTATCAGGGCCTCTGTTTTATGAAGAAATCCTAAGCTTCTTTCATAATCTGTGCTCTTAGCTCTTTCTCAGAACGGAGTTCGTGTGAATCAAAACCAAGTGGTTGTTAATTAACTACAGTATAGGTGATTGGTTCCTGTTTTTTCTTTAAAAAAAAAAAAAAAAAAACCTCTTCTAACAGGGGCCAAAAGGAAGTTCGCCAGGTGCATTTGGCCCCTCTGTAAGCCGGAGGGCTTGGCTGTGGCATTGGCTGTGTCCCTGTCACTTGCCAAGCTCAGGGGAGAGCACACTGGGGGGAGGCAAGAGAAGGGGTGTGGGGCTCAGGGGAGATCACTAGAGTAGGCGTGAGAATCACCTTCCTGAAGCTGGAGAACTCTAGAAGCCAGCCCCACCCTGCACTGTGCCTAAGTGAAAAGTGCTTGGCCAGGGCTCTTGAGTGCTAGAAAGTGTCCTCGTTGTGGGGCCCATTGTTGGAGTCAGTTGACCTGAGGTCTCCTTGGGCCCTGAGCCCAAAGGAAGATCAATGCTTCCTGAAGGAAGGTCTGTCCCTGGCCTGGCCCCTCTGAAACTCTTCAGAGGGTCACGTGGGTCTTTTAGGAGCCTCGAAAAGACTTGGGGGTCAGAGGGTTTGATTTTTCTCCCTTTTTTTTTTTTTTTTTTTTTTGAGACGGAGTCTGGCTCTGTCGCCCAGGCTGAAGCGCGGTGGTGATGCGATCTCAGCTCACTGCAACCTCCGCCTCCCGGGTTCAAGCAATTCTCCTGCCTCAGCCTCCTGAGTAGCTGAGACTATAGCACGCGCCACCATGCCCAGCTAATTTTTGTATTTTTAGTAGAGACGAGGTTTCACTGTGTTGGCCAGGCTGGTCTTGAATTCCTGATCTCGTGATCTGCCCACCTTGGCCTCCCAAAGTGCTGGGATTACAGGCATGAGCCACCGTGCCCGGCCTGATTTTTCTCCCCTCTTGCCCCAGCACCCCGCATTTCCCTCTGTACTGCAGGTGGTGGTCACCAGGTGCTGTGAGGACCTCTGACAGGGCTGGGTGGCACAGTGGCTTAAGAGTAAAATCCTAACAGGCCAGGAGCCCTGGATCGGTGTCACTTTCCTCTCTACACCTCAGTTTTCCTACCTGCAACCTGGGAAGACACTGCTTGACACAGGCACGTGAGGGAGTTTCAAACTGCTGTTTTCATCCCTAGCACATCGGCTCCACTCCCTCTGCAGAGACAAAGCCATGCCAGGCACTGCCCAGCACTTGGCACCCAGTCTGCACCAAGTAACTGCCCACCTCCTGGGCTGAAAGTCAAGAGCATGGAGGCCTGGGGCCAGACAGACCCCAGTCGTGCCCTGCCCACTCTGCCCCAGGATCCTGAGCCCTCCAGGCCTCAGCTCCTCCTTTATGAAATGGGACAGCAGCGGGACTCAGCATCTGGATTAAGCATCAGGATTAAAGGTGTAATAAACAAGGCAGGCTAAGCAGCCCCCTGCCACAAGGGTTGACGGGCGCCTCCTTCTATCACAGAAGCCTCGGCGAGTACCTTTGGTTCTAGCTGATTTCCTCATAAATATTATGCGGGAAAAAAGATCATCTTTTGATATTTTGATAGGCAAACCATGCCCCTCACAGGCCCCCTCAAAACAAAGTGCGAGTCGAACCCCGCACCCCCAGCCCTCCTCCTGCTCACTGGGTCCCCTCCTCTCCCCCTAGGGTCTGGTGTCCCCAAGGGCTTTCTTGAAGCATAGAAGAGTTAGAAGCGGGAAGGAAGGGGGGTGTGGGGAGCCCTGGTGAGGGAGGGGGAGGAGGCAGGAGGAGGAAGACGTGTCCCTGGGAGATAAGGCCGTGGGCTGCCCCCGGCCCGAGCCTGTGTTCAGACAGCCGAGCATCTGACCGCGGGAAGGGACCCCAGAGGCCTTCAAGGCCCTTTCTCCTAATTTTAGAGCTCAGAGAGTACAGGGCCTCGAGCGCGGCCCTGGCTTCGGGGAGCTGCTGCAGCCCTTGACACAGGGCTCACCCCATCTTTTGAATGCACCTGCAGTGGGCTGGGCGCTGGGATGCGCGGATGGGCACATGCTGAGCGCCTCCCATGCTCGCTCCTGATGGATAAAGGTCCTTTCTCACTCCCCACAATCCCATGGGGTTGGATTGGGATCCCCATTTAGCAGATATGGCCACTGAGGCTCGGTGATGAGTCTTACAGCTGGCAAGGGCTGGGCCTGAGCTTGGCCCTCTGTGCAGAGCCCCCAGTCCAAACTCCTGATGTCCCCAGGCTCTGGGCCAGGAGGAAGCAGATCTGGGCACAGTCAGGTCCCTCTTCTGCCTGGCTCTGGGTCATCCCTTTGGGGAAGGGGTGAGTCCCTGGCCCTTTTCCAAGCTGCATTCTCTAATCTCCCACCTCCCACCCTGCTCCTGGGCCAAGGCCTTATCATCCTGGTCCTCACTGCTGTTCTGAAGCAGCTGTGATCCCTTTCCCGCCTTCTCTGGACCCTATCACCCCTGCAGCCTTGCATGGCAGCTGGCCCAAGGGGATGAGGGGTGGGACTCTTCCGAGGCCTCAGGCGTGGGCCTGGTGTTGGTCTGGGTGCAGCCTGGGGGCAGAAAAGATAGAGGACCATAGGATGATGCTCTCCAGGAGCCCCCGGGGGAGCCTCACAGGCTGAGTGCAGGGATGTGAACCATTCTGGGGGCCAGGCGGGGCTCTCAGCTCCAGAGGGCTCTGCAGGGGAAGCCAGGAGTCCTGGGGTGGTCAGGCTGGTCAAGCCCTGTCACTCCCCAGCCCTACCTGGGATGGTCCCCTGACTGATGTGGTCCTTGGTTTCTTCCCCCGCTCCCTGACCGGTGGGGTCAGTAGTGACGCTGGGCTGCCCACGGAAGCTGGGGGATATTCACCTCTTCTCCTGTGTCCGTGAAACTTCAGGCGTCCGGGTGCAGTGGAGTGGGGGCTCCTCTCAGGTCTTGAGTCCCCCCACCCCATTCCTCAGACAGAGAAGGCCCCTGTCTCTCTAGGGAACAGAGCCTGGGCCAGGGCTGTGGACAAGGCACAGCCCTGCTCTGGCAGCCGTGGCTTGTAGCTTGCAGGAGCACGTGGATTGGCAATGTCCCCTCGTTTGCTTCAGCTTCTCTGCCAGAGCCCCCTGTGATAGACACTGAGCACCTGTGGTGCCCTTGTCAGCACTGCAAGCCTGGACATCCCCCCTTACAGCAAAGGGAATAGGCCCAGAGAGGTTAAGTGTCTGTCCCAGATTGCACAGCAAGTGAGCTGAGATTCTAACCCGTGAACCGCTGATTCCAAAACCTAAGCTCAGACCATCTGTTTCTATGGCCTCTGAAGGTGAATCTCACTGGTACCCAAATGTAACTTTCTAGAATTGGGGTCCACCGTGTGTCACAGAGGGAGACCTTAGCCCCTGCTTTTCCTTTTCTGCTCCATTGCAGCCCAGATCGTGCCAATGGGAGCAGGCTTGTCTGAGCGTTTTCTAGGGGGCGATGCATTTGTTTCCTGGTGAAGGAGCAGTGAGGGAAGTTAGGATTTGTAGCTGCCGTAACAAAATAGCACAAACAGGTGACTTAAAAACAACAGAAATTTATTCTTTCATGGTTCCGGGGTCTAGAAATCCAAAATTGAGGTGTCCACAAAGTGGGTTCTTTCTGGAGACTCCAGGGAAGAGTGTTTCGTGCCCCTCTCCGAGTTCTGGCAGCTGCCAGCACTGCCTGGCATCCTCTGGCTGATAGAAGCATCACTCTCTGCTCTGTTGTCACAGGACATTCTCCCTGGGTGTCTGTGTCTCTGGGTCCAAATTTCCATCTTCTTATAAGGACACTAGTCATCTTAGATTGAGGGTCCATCCGAACCCAGAATGACCTCTTCATAACTTGATTACATCCGCAAAAGCACACTATTACTAATAAGGTCACATTCACAGGTTCTGGGTGGACATGAACTTTGGGGCCCACTGTTCAAGCCAGTAGAGCTGGTGTTTGAGCTCAGGAGGAGGTTCTGAGATATGGGGGGTATTGTTCTCTTGTCCTTCCCAACCGCTCCCATCCCTCCCTGTTGCAGGTGTGGGGTGCACACTGAAAATGCCACGCTCCTTCCTGGTGAAGAGCAAGAAGGCTCACACCTACCACCATCCCCGTGTGCAGGAGGATGAACCGCTCTGGCCTCCTGCCCTTACCCCGGGTGAGTCAGAGCCAAGGCTGGCGCCCTGCTGAACCCACCGGAGTCTTTCTGCTCTGTGTGATGGGGGTGCAGCAGCGTCCCTCCGGCAGCAGCCTCTTCTTCCAAGCCTGGAAGCAGGAGTGCAGTAAATGTGGGTTGCAGATGAAAGGGGTAGATGAATGAATGATGCCCTCATCCCTTCTGCCCTGTTGGGGAGATGAGAATGTCGGGTTGGAGCCCATACTCAGTTACTGACATGTGGGGCCTCACTGGAGGCTCCATCTAGGGCTGGAGCTGGGTTGCTCAGAAAAACGGACTGGTCCAAAGTCTTTCCCAGGATCTCCTCCTGGCCTCTTCTCACCCCCCTGCCCTGGGCAGGGCCCGGGAGAATGAGCCGCCAGAAGCAGCCGCAAGTGGATGTCTATCTGGGCCTCCTTCTCCTAGGGAGGGTGTGCCCTCCTTGCTCCCTCTGGCTTCCCAGAAGCTGTGGCTACTGATGCTGATGGTCCTATCTCCCTACAGTGCCCAGAGACCAGGCCCCGAGCAACAGCCCTGTCCTTAGCACCCTATTCCCAAACCAGTGCCTGGACTGGACCAACTTCAAGCGAGAGCCGGAGCTGGAGCAGGACCAGAACTTGGCCAGGATGGCCCCGGCACCAGGTACCCAGCTGCGACCCCCTGTCATTCCCCAGGGAGTGCCAAGGGGAGGAAGGATGAAGGGACTCTTACAACACGGCCCCTTGGGGCCCTGGAGTCAGGAAGGACCCACAAAGTCACTGGATGCAGCCCGGGCTCTGTGGTTTCCGCTTGGGCCTCCCAGACAGGGAGCTAATTCCCAGATGCGGGCTAGGTGGGGGAAGAGGTAAGAAGCAGCAGCTGGGCTGGTCCATGCAAGGGGTGAGGCGGGCACTCTGGAGTGAGGGCGGGGCTGTTTCTGGACTGGAAAAGCTGAGGAGCCACAGGGACACAGGCATCCCCAGCAGTAAGTATTGGGTTGACACCCTGAAACCCTCCGCATGAGGTGATGAAGGTGGTGGTGGGTGGTAGAGGGTGGTGGGAAGTGGGTGCCCTATGTTTGTTTTATTTCATTTTATTTTTTGAGACAGGGTCTCACTCTGTTGCCCAGGCTGGAGTGCAGTGGCACGATCTCAGCTCACTGCAACATCCGCCTCTCCGGTTCAAGTGATTCTCCTGCCTCATCCTCCCTAGTAGCTGGGATGATAGGTGTGAGCTACCACCCCTGGCTAATTTTTGTATTTTTTTGGTAGAGACAGGGTTTCACCATGTTGGTCCGGCCGGTCTCAAACTCCTGACCTCAAGTGATCCTCCTGCCTTGGCCTCCCAAAGTGCCGGAATTGCAGGCGTGAGCCATCGTGCCCAGCCCCCTGTGTTTAAATGAGTAACCAGGCATGTGTCCCTATCTCCACAGAGGGCCCCATTGTGCTGTCCCGACCCCAGGATGGGGACTCTCCACTGTCCGACTCACCCCCATTCTACAAGCCCAGCTTCTCCTGGGACATCCTGGCCTCAACGTATGGCCACAGCTACCGGCAGGCCCCCTCCACCATGCAGTCAGCCTTCCTGGAGCACTCCGTCAGCCTGTACGGCAGTCCTCTGGTGCCCAGCACCGAGCCCGCCTTGGACTTCAGCCTCCGCTACTCCCCGGGCATGGACGCGTACCACTGTGTGAAGTGCAACAAGGTGGGCAGTGGGGGGTGTGGGTGGGCACCTGGGCGCTGCTCTCTGCACTCCCTCTCAGCGCACTGGTAGCTCTGGGTGTTCCTTGTGCTGTGAACGTTGGGACTCCGGTGGGATTAATGATCAAAACGTTCGCCCTCATCACCATTCATTGAGCTCTGATCATGTGCCTGGCCCTGTGCTAAGCAGTTGACAGGCATGAGTGCCAGGAGGCAGATAAGGGTTAAGGTTCAGAGAGGTTAAGTCACTTTTCCAGGATCAGACAGCAAGTAGCTATCAGAACCAGCATGCAAACCTGGCTCTGGCCAGCCCCAGCTCTTAACCACCGGGCTATTCAGCCTCTAGAGGAGCCAAGGAGGGGGCTCCAGATCCCCTCTCTCACACCCAACTTTGTAGATGGAAGACCGAGCCACAGAGAGGAAAAGGGACCTCCCTGGGACACACAGCAAACAAGTAGCAGAACTGGCGATCCAGTGTCCCTTCCTCTGTGCACCCTGCCTTGGCCGGAGCTGGGCGTGGAAGAGACTATGGGACCCCAGGCCTGTTCCCCTCTCTGCAGCCCCCAGTGGCCTCACACGCTGCCCCTGCTTCCAGGTCTTCTCCACCCCTCACGGGCTCGAAGTGCACGTGCGACGCTCCCATAGTGGGACCCGGCCCTTCGCCTGTGACGTCTGCGGTAAAACCTTCGGCCACGCCGTGAGCCTGGAGCAGCACACGCACGTCCACTCCCAGGTGGGCACCTGGCCCCGTGCGGGACTCCCAGCCCCACTCCTTTTCTGTGCTTCCCCAGGGAGCCTGGGGGCTGCGGCTGGGTCCCTCCCTCTGCTCCTGGGGGTGATACAGATTGGGAGGGGTCCCCTAGTACCCACCTCCCTGAGTCTGGGTCTCCAACACCTGCCGTTAACAGACTTCCTACCCTTAACTAAACCACTGTGCAGACCACAACCATCCCTGCCTCAAGGAACTCACTCTGGGTTAGTGGTCATGAAATGTGACCCTCTAAAAAATTTCTGAGATCAGTCAGTCCATCAGTCAATCAACAAACATTTACTGAGTTTTATTTTAAGCGGTATACCGTGAAGATTACAAGGAAAAATCCCACAGGAGGCCAACGAGGCTCCAAGCTCCAGTTTCACCTCAGAGGCAGAGATGAGGGGTTCCCGGGTCCTGCTCCTCCAGGCCCTATCCTCCAGGCCACCCCAATGGAGTGTCCTATTCCGCAGGGGATCCCGGCCGGGTCCAGTCCTGCGCCTGCGCCTGATCCCCCGGGGCCTCGTTTCCTCCGGCAGGAGCGCAGCTTTGAGTGCCGCATGTGCGGCAAGGCCTTCAAGCGCTCGTCCACGCTGTCCACCCACCTGCTCATCCACTCAGACACGCGGCCCTACCCCTGCCAGTTCTGCGGCAAGCGTTTCCACCAGAAGTCGGACATGAAGAAACACACCTACATCCACACAGGTGAGTGAGTCTCACCTGCCTGCACCCCCTGGGCAGAGCACCCCCACCTTTCCCTAAGAGATGCATCAGAGGCCCCCAGCGTGAGGCTGGGAGTGGGGTCTAGTTACAAAGTCGAAGGCCACTGATGATGGAGGGCTGGGCGCCTGTGCTGCTTAAGTGTACTTAATACATGGAAAAATTACAGGAAGGAAACAGCAAAATCTCAACACTGGTGATCTCATGGCAGAAGTGAGACTAGCAATCGAATTGCTCATTCATTTGTTCACTCATTCACTCACTCACTTGCTCATTCATTTGTTCACTCATTTGCTCATTTATTCACACATGGGCTCACTCGTTTGCTCATTCATTTGTCCACTCATTCATTCATTTGCTCATTCATTTGTTCACTCATTCTCTCACTCATTTGCTCATTTGTTCACTCATTCACTCATTTGCTCATTCATTTGTTCACTCATCCTCTCACTCATTTGCTCATTCATTTGTTCACTCACTCATTTGCTTATTCATTTGTTCACTCATTCATTCATTTGCTCATTCATTTGTTCACTCATTCATTCATTCATTTTCTCATTCATTTGCTCACTCATTCATTCATTTGCTCATTCATTTGTTCACTCATTCTCTCACTTATTTGCTCATTCCTTTGTTCACTCATTCATTTGCTTATTCCTTTGTTCACTCATTCATTCATTCATTTGCTCATTCATTCCCTCCTTGCTATTAGCTGAGTGCCTCTTTTGTGCCAGGTGTACCAGACTTGGAAATGCGTTGATAAACAAGATGACTCGGCTGCTGCCCCTAACCACCCTATAATCCAGTAGGGGTGGGAGGAGGGTCCAAGTTGTGTCTTCGCTTCTCTCTCCTTTCTAATTATTTTCTAAAGTGAATGTGAGTTGGCCACGAGAGAAAACATAGGGAGTTATTGGAAAATGAACCCGGGGGCGGGGCAGTGGAGCGGCAGGCCTGGTGAAGAGGCCCTGACCCCGCCCTTGCTGTGCTGCGCTCCCCTCCCTGCAGGTGAGAAGCCGCACAAGTGCCAGGTGTGCGGAAAGGCCTTCAGCCAGAGCTCCAACCTCATCACCCACAGCCGCAAGCACACAGGCTTCAAGCCCTTCAGCTGTGAGCTGTGCACCAAAGGCTTCCAGCGCAAGGTGGACCTGCGGCGGCACCGCGAGAGCCAGCACAATCTCAAGTGAGGCTGCGCCGGCTCCCAGCTCCTGGCCAGCCTGCCCTGCGGTCCTGTCACCTGGAGGCCAGCCTCTCATGCCCAAATCTCCAGTCTCCTGGAGGTGGGACTGGACAGGAGTCTTCCAGCTTGTTTTGAGACTCACAAAAGTGTTGTGCGACCTTGGGCAAGTCACTTTCCCTCTCTGGATCAACATTTCTCCTGCTGCCAAGTGTGGGAGCCTGGCTGGGTCTTTCTGAGCAGAAGTTGTTTCCACGTGTGCTCAGGCGCCTTCCTCTAGCAGAGCACAGAAAGCTAGAATACCCGCAGGGAGACAGGGATGCGGAGAGTAGACGACCAGAGCTAGGACTCACAGACAGACCCTCCACCTGCCTGCTGCCCACTGAGCTGGGACCTAGTCACCTTGGATTTCAGCAGGCCTCTTTCTGGCTGCAATGGGCAGAGACGGAGCTGCCTCCCACCCCAGTCAGAGGCCTGGCACCCCCCTCTGCCTCGGCCAGATGTGCTGGCTGACCCCGACTTCCGACCAGCACTCAGCTGGCCACTGAGGATTCCAGCGCTACAACCAGGCCATGAGGCTGGAGAAACTGGCAGTTATTGCTGTCAAAAGCCTGTTCTGTCAATTGCTGTCAATAAAATTAAAGATACAGATTTGCCGCCATGTGACCAGCATTCATTGCCTCTGAGGTCCAGGGTACTGCACGAGGCTTTGGGGGATGACGGGGGAAGGCTTGAGGAGCAGAGAAAGCTATGGAGGCACTCACAGGCGAGTTGTGGAGACCAGTATTCAGCCCCCACGTGCACAGACCCACTGAAGAGCCAGTAGCAAGCAGAAGGGGCCCATGCGACAAGACCACAGGGGTGAGCAAGGCTAGTGCAGCTGGGGCGGTATCCGTTTCCTGTGGCTGCTGTGACAAATGACCACAAACTTAGTGGCTTAAAACAACACACACTTACTCTCTTACAATTCTCGAGCCAGAAACTCAAAATGAGTCTCATGGGGCTAAATCAAGGTGTTAGCAGGACTGCGTTCCTACAGGAGGCTCCCAGGAGAGTCTGTTTTCCTGTCCCTTTCACCTTCCCAAGGCCGTCTGTATTCCTCTGATCTTGGCCCCTTCCTGTGCCTTCAAAGCACATCACTCGGACCTCTGCTTCTGCCTCCATCTCTGTCTTCTGCCTTCGACCTTCTTGCCTCTCTCTTATAAGGACGCTTCTGATTACACTGAGCTCAGGTATAAATCGTCCCATCTCAAGATCCTGAACGTAATCACTGTGGTCGGCTGAATAATGACCGCAAAGATGATATCTACATCCTAAGCCTGGAACTTGTGAGTGGGACGTTATAGGGCAAAAGGTCCCAACCCTAGAACCTGTGAGTGTAACGTTGTAGGGCAAAAGGGACTTTGCGGGTGTGATGAAGCTAAGCCTGGTGCTGCACCTGTCTAGCTGTGTGACTTCAGGTGAGTTCCTGAACCTCTCTGGGGCTCAGCTTCCTCCTCTGTAAAATGGTAAACACAGCAGTCCCTTCCACCGATTCGCTGAGACCATTCTTACAAAGTGGCATGAAGGGCCAGCCCAGCATGTAGTAAGTGCTGCCGAGTTGTGAACATCCCTTTTTGTAGTCCTGTCCATCCTACAAGGCCCACTTAGCCGTCTCCTCCATGAAGCTTCCCTCGGTCATCCAGCCAGAAGGTCTTCTCTCTCCTCTGATACTGAGAAACTCAGTTTCCTTGTTTACAGCTTAGGAGCCATTGAATGTGGAATGCAATTATGTGTGGATAACTTCAGAAGGTCTTCTGTCTGAGCTCCAGCCGCACCCACCCCCCCATCCCGCACCAATCCTGTGCCTGGCCCACAGCCATGGACACCTCTGATTGAGCTTGCAGGTACTGAGCTAAGCCAAGGGTTTCCACACATTGTCTCTAACCCACACAACCCTCTACAATTTTACAGATGGGGCAACTGAGGCCCAGAGAGGTCAGCCATTAATAAAAAACATGGATATGGGCCGTGCGCTCACGCCTGTAATCCCAGCACTCTGGGAGACCAAGGCGGGCAGATCACTTGAGGTCAGGAGTTCGAGACCCGCCTGGCCAACATGGTAAAACCTGTCTCTACTCAAAATACAAAAATTAGCTGGGCATGGTGGCGCGTGCCTGTAATCCCAGCTACTTGGGAAGCTGAGGCAGGAGAATTGTTTGAACCTGGGAGGTGGAAGTTGCAATGAGCCAAGATCATGCCACTGCATCCAGCCTGGGCAACAGAGCAAGACTCCATCTCAGAAACAAACAAATAAACAAAAAATAGATGGGAGGGCTTACCCTTTCCAGGTGTGCTCAGGTGCCTTCCTCTAGCAGAGCACAGAAAGCTAGAATACCCCCAGGGAGACAGGGATGCTGAGAGTAGACCAGAGCTGGGACCCACAGACAGACCCTCTTTCCTAGAGAAAGAAGGATTCTTTCCAAAGAAACGCTGCTATCGTCAGACGGTTTCTGTGTATAGTGTGATTTAGCCTTGGGTTCATGAACCGACTTGTTTAACGTGTATTTGATTGAATGCCAACTCATGAGGCTCAACCTGTCATGAAATGGCGAATGTCCCATGCAAATGCCCAATTCCCATCCATTGTGAACAGCTCAAACCTGGAACAAACTAGAAGCTGTTCACATGGATCGTCGGAATGAAAGACAAGTCCTCAGACTCGTGTTTGTGGTTGCAGAGAGGCCCACAGAGCTGGCTGGACACGGCTGAGACCTGTTCTGGTGCTCCCCAGGCGTGCGCCACAAGCCTCCGGGGGTTCATTTGCTTTAGACGGAGTAAGAGATTACATTGCTCAAATAACTGGGAGGAACTCTGTGTTAACGTTCAGTCTATTGCAACCGCTTCTTAGAGCCTATAACGTGTAATACACTTGTGTCCATCCCCGAGGGGAGGATTTGGGTATTCAGCGTTTTCCTAAGGTTAATTTGGGAACCAGAGAGGTTGGCCGAGTTGCCCAAAGTCACGCAGCAGGCAAAGGCACAGCTGGGATGAGAAACTGACTCTGAGTTGAGCCTATCTTTTTGGAGCCTGTGTACCCTCCCTCCCACCGAGACCCAAAAGTGTTTCTTCCAGGTCTCTCCTGTGGTGTGCAGGGGGCTAAGGGCCCCCAAGAGGAATGGGACTCTCACCCACCCCCAGGCTCTGCATTTGGCTGGGCAGAACCCTGACATCCATTTCCTGCCAGAGGCTCTTCCTGTTTCCTTTAGCCAGAATTCCCCTAAGCAAACCTGTCAGGTGAGCGGGGTGGGCTCAGGGCTTGGGATTTGCATGGGAGAGTGATCTACCCTCCTCAGCAAGCTCCCTGTGGGTGTCCTGTCTTGAAATCCAGCTCTTGAAATCAGGAGAAGAGGGACCCTGGTGGCCAGAGCACCGGAGCCAGCAAAGCCTTAGAAACCAGCTGTTTGCATCTCTCCTCCTGTCCAGGAGGACAGCGAAGCCCAGCAAGCGGGAAGGGCCTTGCCCAAAGCCACACTTCTGGAGCCAGGCCTGGAATGGGCTCCTGACTCATCTCTTACACACACATGCGCACACACACAATGGATTGGAAGCTGCTTTGCATACTCCCTGTTTGCTAAACAAAACCAAACCAGTATCAGGATTTCAGCCACTTCTGCAGCAGGGCGGGGCAAGGCGGAGGAGCTGAGCTGTGAGGGGAAGCCACACAATGTTCCTTCTTCGTCGACTGAGGTTTGGTGAGATCGAGATTAAGCTTGTCGGGCTCCTCCAGGGACTGGGTGTGTGGGGTGGCGCCAGAGGGAGGCCACAGCAGCCTCAGAGCAGTGGGGGCTGGAACCCCATTTGCATATCGCAGAGAAAGAGGGCAGGTAGTGAGGAAGCCTGTGACACCTGCTTCCAGGGGAAGACTCCGCACTGGCTGGAAGGCTTGGCTTGGGCTTCCTGGCCCTGCTGAGGCAGTGGATTGGAGCTTAGGGGTTGGTCTTAGCCAGAGGGCGGTGCTGCTGACCCTTCCTCATCCCTGAGAAGCTGCTGCGGCATGGCCTCATGGGCACAGCTGGGAGCCCCCAGGAGAAGGCAGCCCTGAAGAAGACTTGCAGATGGGCCCCAGTGGGAGCAGAGTTCCCTGGATGTTCCGTCTCCTTCTGGAAGCAGAGGCTAAGCCCATGACACTGGGGCGGAGAGGTGGCCTAGGAGGTGCTGTGGGCACCACCCATCTGCAGTCTGTGATTTCAGGGGAGTTCAAGCTCCCCCACCAATTCCCGTCGGCTTCCCTGCGGCCGACTACCTGGCCTGCAGTTCCTGCCATCAGAATTGCAATGTGACCTGGAAGGCACTGTCCAGCCCTGTGGAGACTGTCCATGGCTTCCATGTGCCACACAAGGAAACGGAGGCCCAGAGAGGAGAGGTGCTAGCCCAAGGTCACATTGCCATTAACAGCAAAGTACGACAGAACTCAGGTTTTCCAGCCCCAGTCCAGTGGCCTTCCCAGCAGGGCCTCTGGGTTGCTTGACTCCAGGGGACTCCGTGTACATAGAATATGGTGCAAATGGTGTTGGTGGGCTAGCTGGCTGGAAGGGTTCCTTAGACTGCGGCACTGACGCCCTGCTTCCAAGGATTGGATGGGGACACGTGAGACCTCAGGATGCTGCTGGTGACATGAGCTGGAATATCAGTTCACTCGATGGTAATTAACAAAACCAATATTTTAATATCAAAACTAACCAGCCACATTAGGGAGTGGAATGCAACATCTGAATTAATTTTCAGATAAAATGTCCTGTTCGTGGTGACAGCTTCAGGCTACACTGCAGGCCCTGCACTCTGCAGGAGAAGCCCCTCTTCCAAGCAGGCCACATCCCACAGGGCAACCAGGCCCAGGACCAGGGCCTCCTGAGGGACAGACTGAGAGGTGCCCAGGAAGCCCTCCATGGAAATCACTGATAAGGATGGAAATGCATCTCCCAGGGTGAGCCTGGAGAATTGTGCGTGTGTGCACTCACACATGTGTGTTGGCCCCAGCCTGTCTCTATCTGCCCATGGCTGGAATGAGCTGGCCTGGAAGCAGGGGTGGACAGACCAAGGCAAGGAGGCAGGGACCGGGCACTGGGGCTATAGGGAAGTGGAATGAAGCAGGTTCTGTATGATCCGGAAGATCAGGACCTGTCCCAAAGGTTCCCTGGAGATCAGACATTTCCCACCCCATTGCCTGGAGAACAGAGCTCCAGCCCCAGCTGCTCACCATGACCTAGCCTTCAGGGCTGACCCTAGTCCCCTGACTTCAAACCCCTCTCTGCAATCCCTGCCCTATGGGAGCTCCCACTCAGTGTGGTGTGGGTGAGGGCTGTTCCACGGGAAGGAGCTGAGAACATAGAAGAATCTGGGTTGGCCAGAAGTGCGAGAAGGAAGCAGGAAGAAGTGCAGGAAGCGGACAGAGCATGGCACACGCTGTGCATTGGGGGAGACTGAAGACCCCTAGGAGTTCCTAAAGGCATTGCAGCCATTGACATGGGCCCGAAGCCCCAAGGGAGCTGATGTGACATGGGCTGAGCTTTAGAAGGAAGACCCAGGTGGGTGTGCAGTGTGGCTTGGAGGCAAGAGCAGGGGCACTGGCTGGAGGCCGGTCGTGTCAATACCAGGAGCGACAGCAGCTCCAGCCTCAGC